CCGCACGCCACAAGAATGGAAAGAATTGAGTTGAGACTCCAGCAGAACTAGCAAGGCTTAATGGGGGAGGAGGGAGAATGGGTGCATCATCACCTCCTTGGAAGCAAGAAATCAGTGTAGCCTTCTCTCTGGCCTTTCCCCTCTCTACCCACATCCCTTACACTTTCTGCGGAAGTCCTGCATCTCCAAGACCCCGTCTACACAGGCCTCCGCTACCCGGATAACATTCCATTGACTCTGGATCCCATCCCAGAGGCAAGTTCAGGCATCCAAACTCCGATGAGGTTTGGAGCTGAGTAATCAGCTGCTAGCGCTAAGCAGACATTTTGTCCGGGGGACAGCCAGCTCCCCACTGCCACCTTGCACAGCAGATTTGGGGATGGGGGAGGGTGGGTCTGTCACTCCGTGTCTTCCCAGCCCCCTCCCACCACTGCCTTCTCCCACTTCCCACCTGCAAGTAATTTGGCCAATGGGAGGGCAGTTAAGATTGCAGTGTGGAATCCCTCTAGATCTGTGTGCATTTGGTGGGGAGGGGCTACCTCCTCCCGCCCCCCCCCAGACCCCGTGCACCCTTTTCCTCTTCATGGCAGCAAATTACTTGTAATTATCTCACATTGAAAACCTTCAGGAGCTGCTCCCAAAATTGCTTTAATTGAATTAATTGAATCTCATTTTGTTGGGGGAGAGAATGGGGGGCCTGTCTTAAAATAGCATATGGGGAGAGGGGAGGGAAGCCCCAAGTCAGCTTTTCCCCATGGCTGAGACCCTTGTAGGTGAGAGAGTGTGCCCTGGCCTCCTTCCCATTCTCCAGTCTCAGCTGATTTTAGATGCCCTTCTGCATTTAGGACCTCTCCTGTGCCCTGCTTTCAAATGGTGGGGACAAGGAATGCGCGTAGGTCTCCAGCCTCCAGCCCCATTCCTCCTCCCTACCCTCGGGAGGCAGAGAGTCGAGACGTGAATGGATGGTGGTGGCAGTATGCACTCCCCCTGGCCCCGACCCCTTCTCCCCGATAATCACCCAGCAGCCAAATGCCATTTGTGAAGCGAGTCCTATGTTCCAGGCACCGTGTCAAGCACGTTACAAGCACTATCCCACTTCGTGATCACAGCGACACTGTGAAGCAGGTCCTATTAGCATTCCCATCTTGGGGGCGGGTGGGAGGAAAACCAGGCTCACAGAGAGGTTAAGTAACTCGCCAAAAGTCACAACAGCAGAGCTGGATGCTTTGCAGGCCCAAACTGCCATTCTTAACCATTCGATTTTGTCCCCGCTCCATTATTGACCTGATTTTCCCAGAGGGGAATCTTCGTGGGGAACCCCAGGGTTCCCCTTCTACAGCTCAGATGGCTTGAGAGAGGTGATGGGGCACATCCCCCCCACCCCGGGGTTTCAAGTCCATCCTCACCCAGGAGCCCAGGGAGGTTGGACCAACTCCCAAGTGGAACGGACTCTGGTTTCCCCTGGAAAGGTCGGGTGGATGGGGGCAGGGAAGGGGTTGGAGCTGGTCTCTGGCTGGGAGAGTAATTATACTCCTTCTGCTACTTAACTTTACAACCTGGGCTGTTGTTTTAACGATGCGACTCGTGTTGGGCTGTCCAATTAATCTCGCCTTTGGAGGCTTTCCGAGATGGGGCGGTAGATCTTATCTTGGGTCTGTGGAAAGAGGAGTGCAACCTGCAGTGGGAGGAACAGCCTCCCTGAGGGCCTGTGGCCTCCACGAAGCCCCAGGGGAGGGACCTGGGGCTGGGCCCTGAGAGCCTATGGAGCTGCGGGCTAGGGGCAGGGGAAGGCCCAGAGGAAGAGGGGGTGTTTTTGCCCTTGGCACCATCACTCCTCACTGCTCTGATCTTGGCTTTGGCCCACTCCATGCCTCTTGCCATCCCCAGGATAACCCTCCAGGTGTGTTGTGGCGAGTGGGGGTGGCCGCTGACCCAGAAGGGGCCTAGGAGGGGCTGACGGCAGGCCTCCTGGGGTGGGGGTTCCACTGACTTTGTACCCCTTCTACTCTACAGAGACCCCAATGTGGGCCTGTCTCGGGCCAGGGGGATTGGCGCGAAGTGTCTGCTTGGGCTTTTCCAACTAAGGCAGCCCCCCGGTTCGCAGTGCTTGGGAACAGGTTTAGGCAGTGACTGGGAAGATGACTCGGGAAGTTTTTGCCTGGAATTGAAGGCCCCTCCCCCGATCCCTTGGGCCAAAGCTGGGCTGGATTCCCTGAATAGTTCACAGCCCTGTTCCTGGGCCTAGTTCTAGAACTAGTTCCTAGTTCTTCTATCGTGGCCCTTGCCACACAAGGGGCTGGTCATCCGGCTGGCTCCCCCATGTGCCCCAGTCACCCGGTGTCTCCGGGATCTAACACGGAGCAGAGGCTTCACACATGTTTGTTGGATGGAGGAGAAGTCCAGCTCCTTCTGGGATGTTCTTCTCCTCCCCCTTCCCTTGCTGGGCTGGGGCCTCTCCCGCCCAAGGAGCACACTGGGAGGACTGGACTGGCTCAGGGGGCATGTCGTCTTTCCAAGTGAGCGGGACTGGAAGATGGAGCCCCAGGGGGACTCCTGTCCCTGGCTCCCTCCAGAACTGGGCCAGCACAGAATTTGCAGGTGACCACTTAGACTTTGGTCCTTTGCAGTATTGGCATCTTCCAGTTTTACACTGGAGTGTATGAAAATGGTCATTAGAACATTCCAGAGCTACAACCGCGGAGCTAGTTAGTTGTAGAGGCAAAACTTGTATCCTGTCCTCTAGCTCAGTGCTGGAAGTGTCTAATGGGAGACGAGAGAGAGAGAGAGAGAGAGAGAGAGAGATGAGCAACAAACCCCCACCCCTAGAAGTCAGGAAACAAACAGACTCACAGCCAGGGCCCAGGTTTTTGTACAGATTTAATCTCCAAAAGCTCCTGGTGTGGATTATAAATAGGAGCAGTTCCTTTGGACAGAGACAGCTGTGAGGAGCTGAACTGTCAGCCCACCCTCCCTATTTGGGGGTGTCTTTACTTACACTCATCCAGAGAGTCTGTCTGCCCTCCCATTCTCCCCAGACTGTTACCCTACAGGCTCCCAAGAGGGTGTGCATGTGGAGTTATTAGGTACTAAGGGTGGGAAAGGAGGGGATAGGCTCTTAATAAATACCCGTTGAATTACAAGGATAATTGGATGTGTTATCTACCATAACTGAATAGACATGGGAAGAAGAAGGCTTTTTTAGGAGAAGAGCATGAGTTACCCACAGGTCCACAAACTCCACATTTTCGGCATCTTTTCCACTCACAAGATGGTGAGGAGGTGTATCAGTCATGGGGATAATGGGCCAACCACCAGGGAAAATCGGTGAGGGGGGACCCGATGGTCCTCATCGTGAAGACAGAGGATGCCCACTTCACTTCTGCTTTTGCTCGTAACAGGGTTGGGTGAGGCCCAAGGCACACAGAGAGGAAAAAATACTCAAGTGTTTCTTTGTTTTGCCTCCAGGCCATGGTAGACTGCAGTCCAGGGAAGGGGTGGGAAGTCAGCCGATAACTCTCCCTCCAGAGCCCCTGATCAGCTGGAGGGAACGGGTCCAGTCCACGGTCATGGTGGGGCCGGTGGTTAAGACCAAAGTCCTGATTAGGCAGTTTGGGTTACAGGGCAAGGGAGAGAGGACTCCACCTCATCCTTGTTCTCCTCTAACTTCTTGTCCACTTGACAAAATCCATCTGGAGCTGGTTTCCTCTGGGACCAGAAGGGGTGCAGGTGGGCTGGGTCCTGGGCTTTGTGGAGGACAGGGTCCTGACCCACCCTTCCCGGGACTCACATCATCTGAGATGGAGCCAGGACATCTGGGGAGTGATGCTGATACCAGGCTCCAAAGCTGTTGCCATAGCCACCGGTGGGCAGGGCCCCTGCCTTGGGCAGATCCCAGAGGGATGGAAGGGGCGGGGAGCAGGGAGATAAGGAGGGGGCTCTCCCAGGCAAGTCCCCTTCCTGTACTCCAGAGTTCTGCTTCAGGAGCTTCTTGTATTTGGAGCGTTTGTTCTGAAACCAGATCTTTACCTTTGGAGAGAAGAAGGGAAAGAAGGGAAGATGAGGAGGAGTATGTGTGCGGGAGGCGGTGAGCCAGGGAAAGGGACTCAACAGCGGTGCGTGCAGTCCTGGGAGCAGAGCAGAGGTTGGGGACATACTGCAGTCCTCCAGAGTCCCTGAAGTTGCTGGGGGTCCCGCCCCTGAGCTAGTATCCAGTTTGCCAGGTCTGGATGCCCTCGTCCTCTACCTGCATCTGCCTCCCTCACCCCAACACACCTTTTAACACATTCCCCCAACACCTAACTGAGGGCCGGCTCTTCACACGCCCTGGAGAACTGCGACAACAGGGCTAGGGGACTCCTGGGGCACCCCCCTGGGGAAGGGGGTGAGTTCCCAGAGAACACATCTGGGGAAGGCTAGCTGCAGGAAGGACGGGACGGGCCTCACCTGGGTCTGGGTGAGGCCGAGCTGCGCGGCCAGCTGGGCCCTCTCGGGCAGCGCCAGGTACTGTGTGTGCTGGAAACGCTGGTTCAGGTGCTGCAGTTGCAGACTCGAGTAGATGGTCCTCGGCTTGCGGAGCTTCTTGGTCGGGGCCTGCGGGCGCTGCTCCGAGGACTCCGGGGACAGCGGCGGCTTCTCCGAGTCTGGGGGGCAAACACAAGGCGGTGTGTGCGGGAAGGTGAGAGGGTCGGGCGGCCGCTTCAGGGGCTCATTTGCATCTCGTTTGCATGCAGGCCTCGGACGGGCCAATAGCGCAGGTGTCTACCTCCGCTCCACGCCCCCTTCCGACCCCACGCCCCCTGTGCGCCAGGTGGAACCAGAAACGGTTCTTGCCCTCAGGGAGCTCCCACTCTTACGGGTCCTGTGACCCTAGGAAGGGAGCGCCACGGGCCGGAGCGAGGGTACAGGTGGCGCCAGGGGCGGGAGGTCAGAGTTCAGGCGGGTGCGGAGGCGCCATTTTGGGGTGGGGCGGGGCCGAAAGGCTCGGTCGAGGGCTGGGCTGAGGCCTAGAGCGGACGGGGGCAGGGCATTCCAGGCGGAGGGAACTCCAGAGCAATGCTCAGAGGCCCCAGACAGTGTTTGCGTGGCAGCCTCCCCGCTGCCAGAGGAGGGGTGGGTCAGAGGGGCCCAGCCAAGCGGGCCTTGAAGGCCAGGATGCGCACCCGCCTCTCCCCAGCATCAGAGTATGGAAAGGGCCCCCAGGGTTTGCCATCCCCTATTGCAAGTCACAGCCCCTCTCCTGGGGCGCACCCTGCAGGAAAGGTGACCGGCTCTCCCCTCCCCCATGGCCGGCTGGCTGGGGCAGACGGTTTTCGGGGACCTAGAAGCCCGGTGGGATTGAGGCGGCCCCCTCCTGCGCCCCGCCACAATCACAGAAGGGTTCACGGCCCGCGGGGAAGGTGGCCCGGGTTCGGAAAGCACGCAGCGCCCGGCAGCGCAGGCGCTCGGGGCCGCTCCAGGATCGCGCCGCCATGCTGCCCCACGAGGTCTGGTCACCTCCTGCCCCCAGGCCCAGCCACTCTAGGAGTCTCGGCGGGGTAACAGTGGCCCTCGAATGCCGGGGGTGCGGGGCGAGGGGTCCTCTTCTTTCCGTCTGAGCAGCCCCAACCTGCGCCAATCTGTGGGGACACCCCGGGACCATTCCATTCGGGTGATAGGGCTGGGAGGACCAAGTGGCCGAAATGCCCCCGGGCTTAGGGCCACGTTTGCAGCTTTCCACGCGGGTCTGCCGGGCCGTCCCAGCCGAGAGAGCTTCGTGGCCCGGGTGCCCAGACGCAGCTGGTGTCCGCCCGTGTCCCGGACCCTCACCGCGCTCCTCCCTCCGGCCGTGCTCCCGCAGATGTGTGATTCCCCGCGCTGGGCCGGCCGCGGTGACCGGTTGCCTTCACCTCCCCCGCATCCCTACCCGGTGGCCCCGGGCGCTGCGGGCTTCTCAGATCCACCCTCCTCGACCCCCGCCTCGGCCAATTCCCAGAAAAACCGTTCGGTTTCCGCTCCCGCCCGCGCCTGTCCGGCCTCCCCTGCTTCGACCCTACCGCTCGCAGCCCCAGGCCGGCCACCGAGGGACCGACCCCCCGCGCCTCTCTGGCTTCGGGGAGCGCGCGGCTCAGGCGGGGACGCAGCGCCTGGGAGGCAGCGCGGGCTACTGAACTCCCCCAGCCCTCGGCGCCCTAGCTCTCCCGGGGGCGCCCCTTCAAGTTCCTTCCCCGACAGCTGCCTTTCCCCACACCCGCTGCGGCAAGTCGCGACTGGATCTGCCCCGGTCGGGATCATGGAGCCCAAAGGCCTCCCTCGAGGCGCGGGCGCCGCACCCGTCCGCTCCGCGGGGTGGTGTGCAGCTCGCTTGGAGCCAAACCTCTCCCTGAAGCAGGGGTGGACATGGGGTGGGGGCAAAAGGAGGATTCAAGCCCTCTCTTGCACCCCAGTCATTCAATCTAGAATGGGCAAAGCCACCAGTTTCGGGAGAAAAATGCTACCATCTAGACTAAGCATGTGTATGGTTTTCGTTGGATCCGGGGAAATTCTGTAAAGAAAGGGAGCTCTCCACTCTCTCGTCGTTAGACCAAGCAGAGGGAAGGCTAAGAGTGTGTAGGACAGGAAGGAAAATACTAACCCTATAAACAATTCTCTGAAGGACAAGGCTATCTTATTCCCACCCCCACTACACACACATACACACAAATGTGCCGTGTACTAAAGGGAAGAGTCCAAGGGATTCTTTTGTAGAAACTAGATCATTTGTATAAAAAAAAAAAAAAACCCCAAACCAAACAAACACACAAACCTCCTCTCCCGACTGCTCCTCCTCTAACAAGGACAGACCCAGCAGCCTGGGAGAGGCAGCCCAGTTCTGGCACAGAAGGAGGTTAATTTTGGGGGCTCTGAGGAGATTCCCTAAAATCCTCTTTTCTGGCCTCATGCAGTGAGAGTCAATTTGCAAGGGCCAAGTGCCTGGAAAACAGGCACACACACCCTTTCTTTAGGCCTCAGTTTGCCCATCTGTACACCAAGGAGGTTGAGCTCCCAAGTCTTTAGGGTCACTTCTGGCTTGGATGATTTCTGAGCTCCTGTGTTGGAGTAAGGGAGAGAGATGTCTTGGTCCAGGCCGACTCCAGCAAAGCCACCCAGTGGATGTGCAGCCTTGGAAGAGACTGAGCTAAAGACAATTGTGGGGGCAATTAGGTGGGAGCAGGGAGGGCAGGGGACCTGAACTCTAATCTGGAGCTAGTACAGGTGGGTATGTATAGTGTGTTACAAGCGTTCTGCCCGTACCAGGCACAGGACCAGGAAGACAGGCTAGCTCCTTGGCCTCTTTGAGGCCTTCCAGTAAGCACTTTCTCAGGCGCTCCAAGTTGCTCCAGACAACGGGAACTGGGGCCTACCTAACGCATCCCCCACAAAGGCAAGGGGTGGAGATGCTCCAGACAGCCTGCTCCTTCAGCAGGAAGGCCGAGGGAACCAGGATCTACAACTAGACACTGCCGGACCCACCTGTGGCTACTTTCTTAGAACAAGGAGTGGCGGGGTCCTGGCCCCAGATTCTGCCAGGCCAGCTTCCAGTCTCCGTCAGGCACATTCAGGCGCCGGCCAAGGGAGAGGGGGAGGGGCCCCGAATCAGCCCCCACTTCCACTGCCCTCCAGCTGTGACCTGACTTCCATTTGTCTGGCTTTGGCTTGAGCCCCACTTTCTGAGACAAGACAAACGGGGAGAGGCGACTTGGGGAAGGGAAGGAGTGCACGACGGAAAGAATACTGGGGCAGGGGCTAGGCACCCACACCCACATCTGGATTGTTTCAGTTTTCCGTTACACGTAGGTACACACAACCCGGCTGCTCCAGGGGGTTGGGTAGGGAGCCCTGCCGCCGGGCTTCACACAACTGCAAATCGAAACCAGGTCGTTCTTGAAAGGAGACCTAGATCAACTCGCCCCCGCCCC